GGCAGAAGTGCCAACAATGCACACAATGGCGGACAAAAACGGTGGAGAAATTGTAAGGTCACTTGCTGTACATGTACACGTCCAAAGAAAACCTTGATGTGTGAACGGGTGTGCCATAAACAGATTTAGAAAGCCAAAATGGGGAGGAGAGAAAAAGTAGAATAGCAGAAAGTGTACGAAGAGCGAAGTCATCAAGGTAGGCTGCCAGAGAGAGGGGGGAAGGGGTTGGGATCACAGGAGTGCGCGGCATGAGTGATATTATACACATCTCTTCTTAGTAAGGTAAAGACCCTCCGTGGTTGATGACGGCGTTAGGATCATAAAGGTTGGGTTGGCCTGGATGTTGGAGCGTAGCGCCAGTCAGATCGTGCTGAGAAAGAGAAGGCTGTTGCTGATTAGGCGAAGGTTCGAAAACATATTCCATTGGCTGCATGGACCCAACCGCGTTTGGCATGCCGGGACCGGGTTGCTGTTGCTGCATTTGAAATACTGGCGCACCTCGACCAGATGCGTTTCTTCCACTGGGCCGAATGGCCATTATCTGGCCTTTGCCCTGTAGAGAACCATAACCCATCATCGAACTGTTCTGTGGGGGCGATATCCCCGGTTGTTGCTGACTGAATCCTCCAGGACGCATCTGGGGCATCGCAGGGCTGCAAGGATAGGTCGGAGGAGGGTGCGCGTTACGGTAGTTTGGACTAGCCACCTGTGAGTGCATCTCATAAGAGGACATGTTGACCATAGGTATTTGCCCCCCATAGCTAGCATTAGATTGTCCAACAGCAGAGTAGTTGCCTTGGAATTCGCTGAGGCCAGGTGCCATACCATTCTTAACCTGGTGTGGGGCAGGGAAAGAGGGCGAAGAACCATCAGCGGACATCTGGAAACGTCCGCTGTGTCCGGGACTATCCCGAAAATTGCGGACACCCATAGGGGGCATCTGGTCTCCAGCGAAGTACGCGGATCGTGTGAAGTTTGGGTCATTGGTTATGCGCATACGCTGTGGCTGACACATGTCGGGTGTCATACCTGCCTGCTGTATCACCGGATGCGGTTTGAGACCTCCACCACCTGCATGCATCTGACCAGCGGCCGGGCGCATTTCGTAGGACGGGCCACCACCAACCACCATCGTAGGACCAGAAATTCCCGGCGTTTGATACATATGCTGTTGCTGCATCTACTCGAAAAAAAACAGCCGTTATAGGATGTCAACCCACCTTTGGCAAATAGGATAGGAATGGGTTGAATTAGGTTGACGTCTATGACCTGAGAAAAGGGTGAGGTTAATTTGGACAAGATGTGAATAACTAGGTGGCCTCAGTAGGCTTCGAACCCATGGCAGCAAGGGGAAGGCTTTAGTATGGCCAACGCTCTAGCCGACTGAGTTGCAAGACCCCCACCGGAGGCCGTGACTCTGTTTACCCGACCAGTCTACTGCAACGTATGGAATCCACCGATTCTGATACAGAAAGTTGACTGCCCAAACAGGATTTTCTAAGCAATCAATCTAGAATCTACCAGATACACTTAATTAGTGAGGGGGGAGGGAGGTTGGTAGATTTGATTTTTCCGTTGACCCAATTGTTGGGGCGCGTTATCAAGCGACTGCAAAGATATATACGATATAATAAAAAGACAATCATGATTGCCAGCAGAGGCTGATAAAAACATGCGGGGAATGTTGCAGAATGTAAAAAGCAATCGTGTGTTTTGTAGCGACTTCACAGTCTGGAAACGCCCCTTATCACACAAAAACCGAGAGTAATCAAAAGAGTGCCTGAAGAAATGTGTGCGTGGGAACGTGACTAACTAAGTCATAAGTACTCGAAAAAATAGAGGTAGGACAAAACAAAGTGGGATGATGTAGTTAATTGTGTTTAGTAGGAAAACCTTTCATCGTTTAGATATTAGCAAGGCTATAAGATGTTGAAGTTGCAGTGATATGTATAGCATTGAGATTCAATGTAATTCTAAATTTATATACTAAACTGTGGATTGGCTAAGTACGTAGAAGAGAAGGAACACCTAGATTTGCACGTCTCCGACCATTTTTTTCTAATAATTTAGTCAGGACTTCAAGTAAACTATACGGTTGACGTGTTTTGTCGAATAATTCCTGAGTACGTATCGGCAATTTTGTAGACAATTTTGTGCCTTCAGTTAATGGGTTTATTGAACTTGCGTGCCTTGTTCTTTATCGTCTTGTGATTGGGATTGGAGGGCCAAGTTAGTCACTATCTTTTTATTCTCCATAGCTTTTGCGTAATACAGCCCCAAAACAGAAAGTAAACTTCAGGCAGACGGGTTTGTCAGTTAGTTTCGAAACAATCGGACTTTTCTAACTGGTGAATGCACAGTCACCAACCAGCAACGACAGTGTTACCAACACGGGAGGGGTCTGGAGTCTGGTATACCAGTTGGTTCACAAAGACCGGATGTTGGTACGATGATTGCCAGGGTGAACCACAGTTAAATAGGTCCTCTTATCGAGGCTGCCCCACAAGTCAAAACGCTAGAGGCGACCTCGAACGCTTAATCCAGGTATACTCCAGGTATACTCAAAAATGATCAGTTTTTAGTAAAAACTAAAGCGACTTTTCTTGTACTCCAGTTAGTATGATCCGAGGTTCGAAAAAGGCATGGATACAAGCAGCAACTAAATTCTCACGATACAGGCTGTTGAAATACCAGTCCACATATCTAGGAACGTTAGCTCTACGAAAGATTCTACAGTTTGATATCTCGAATTCCAATCTCCTGCTCGACCAGGGGGCTACCGCTGCCTTTATTTCGACCAAAGGCTTTATTGATGTAGACAGAAGTGTAAACAGCAAACATGTCTTAAGGCCTCAACTACAGAAGCAAAACTAGCGCTAATAGTGTCAGATAGGCGTGCAGCCGCCAGTCCGCATGACGTATGTAAGCGAAGAACGGTTAAAAGGCGACGTTAAGGATGACCTCGAACGGCGCAAGATGCGAGCGTCGCACACTGCAGCGCGTGGGTGAAGGCAGACGCGCACAAAACTCAACCCAAAGCATGCCGCTGAAAGCGGGGCTAAGAGGACGCATTCACAGACGCAAAGAAAAGCCTGATGAGGCTACTGCCGCACTGAGAATTGCGGGAGGCCGCAATTTTTCATCTGAAATGCACGCATCGTAACTGCGTAGGCAAAACTGGATCTGGAAGTTAAT